TCTCTTGGATCCACCGGGCCCGCCGAAGGAGCTCCTTGCTCAGTAAGTGACCGGCAGAGGGGGGGTCCGGCCCTTCCTGACGGCGGGGGGGAACCGTCACGGGTGGCTGGGGGAAAACTGCTCCTGGGTCGCCTGTGTTCCTGCCAAGCAAACAGCGCAGGCGGGTGGTGGGGATGGAGTTTACTTCCCCAGCTCCTGGGCTCGGAGACGTAGAGAAAGCTGACCTGGCGTGACGACGCGTTAGCCGGCTGTGCGATGTTCGTGTGCTCACTCCTGCTTTTGTCTGATCCCGCGCAGGCTCGAGGCTGGAGGAGAAGCCCTTCAGCGAGATGGAGATGTCTTACATCAAGCAAGGCGAGGAAGCCCTCCAGAAATCGCTCAGCATCCTCGGGGACCAGGACGGCTGGAAGACAGAGACGGTGGTGGTAGGTTCTCTGCTTTGCAGCAGAAGGACACAGTCCTCCTGTAAATCACAGAATGGTAGGGGTTGGAAGGGGCCTCTGTGGGTCACCCAGAGCAGGCTGCACAGGACCTTGTCCAGGCAGGTCTTGAATATCTCCAGAGAAGGAGACTCCACAACCTCCCTGGGCACTGTCTGAGATACTGATTCCGCCTTCCCCTCTCCCAGGGTAACGGGGACAAAGTGCTGAGCAAGGTGCTCCCGGACGTGGGCAAGGTGTTCCGACTCGAGGTGGTGGTGGACCAGCCCCTGGACGCGGTGTACAGCGAGCTGGTGGACAACATGGAGCAGATGGGAGACTGGAACCCCAGCGTCGAAGAAGTCAAGGTAGGAAACGCGTGCGGCTGCACACACACACACGCTGCTCCGAGTGGCATCGGACCAAGGAGTCACTTTGTCTATCGCTGCCGGGATGTCCCCGCCCGTTCTTTGGGAACCAGGGAGCCAGACTTTGCCTTGTTTGCTTCCTGCTGCCGACAGAGCGTGTTCTGCAGCCGGCGCATTGCTGCTGCAGGAGTGGCTCTGCAGCCAGCTTTCCTGCAGAAATGCAGCCTTCGGGCAGCAGCCAGGGCTGTTGTTAATTTTACTGTTACTGGAGGAGAAACAGCACAGCACCCCAGCGGCAGGGACGAGTTTGCTATTCCACAGCTTGTCTGGAATAAGAGAAGCACCTTTCCTTCTCAGGTATTGAACAGTAATGTGCTGTGGTCTGGGATGAAGCACGTGTGTGCAGGTTTTCTCACTCTAAGCGTTAAGGTTTTTGTAAGAGCTTGTATTTGAGCACAGAGTCACTAAAGCTAGCTTTTAGCTGTGTTTGCAGTAAATACCTCAAATGTAACATTTTTATTCTTAAACTCTCCAGATTCTCCAGAAGATTGGGAAGGACACGGTGATCACCCACGAGAAGGCGGCCGCCACCCCCGGTAACATTGTCGGACCACGGGACTTCGTGAGCGTCCGGTGCGCCAAGAGACGCGGCTCCACCTGCGTGCTGGCCGGCATGGCCACCAAATACGGAGCTATGCCGGAGCAGGAGGGATTTGTAAGGTAATCGCCTCTCGTGTTCACTGTCGGGGTGTGTAAGGAGAGCCAGAGCCCCACACTGGTGTGCAGGGAATCCTAATTCCCAGAGTGCTTCAGCACTGCTGTGATTTTTGAGCTAAGTCAGATGTTGCTCTCTAACGCGTGTGCTCCTGTCCTCTTGCAGGGCTGAGAACGGTCCCACGTGCATGGTCCTGCGCCCACTGCCCGGCAGCCCTTCGCAAACCAAGCTAACGTGGCTGCTCAGCATCGACCTGAAGGTAAGTTTTGCAGCAAACATTTCAAAGTGAAGCAGGATTTGCGTCGAGGCACGCTCCGCTCACGGCCTGTCTCCTGCACCTCTCCAGGGCTGGCTGCCGAAGACCATCATCAACCAGGTCCTGTCCCAGACGCAGGTCAACTTTGCCAACCACCTCCGGGAGCGCCTGGCCCGCACCGTGCCCTGCTGACCCACGGCCCAGGGGTGTAGTGCTCTGTGCAGGGGTAGACAGGGAAGCTTCTCAAGTCAGGCACTGTTTAGTTGGCTAATTAGCACAGGCTCTAAGGCCTTAAATAGCAGACACCACTAACTAATTAATACATAGGGGTTTTTTTATTTATTGAAACTATGTATAATACAAATTCAAAAACTTTTTTAGCTTGTATTAATAAATACATAGCTTCAATAAATAAAAAAAGCCTTATTATTGAAGAATTAGCTTCAATAAATAAAAAAAAGCTTTAATTAGTGGTGTCTTACTATTAAAGGCCTTGGCTAATTAGCTATTGGGGAGTGCCAGGCACCTGACTGGGAAGGCAGGAGGACCAGCACAGGCTCAGTAGGGCAAATGCAGCACTTAACCTCAAATTTTACTCCCCTCCTTCCCCAAAACACAAACGCAGCACTTACCCAAAAAATTTTATTCCCTTCTCCCCCCCCAGTGAAGCAACTCTAAATTATTTTTTCTGTACAGACACTGTGTCAAATTATTTATTCATTCAAAGCTCTGGCAGAAGGCTGTGTATATGACTGTCAACACAGTAAGGAGAGCTTTTAAAGTAACTAATTCAGCTCATCTCATTCGTAACAGAAGTAAAAGACAAACCTCAGAGTTAAAGGCTTTATTTTTAAACTGGTTTCCAGTTTGTGGGGGAAAAAAAAATACACTTTGGACAGAAGCCCAAATTTCAGTCATACATGCAGTAGTCTTGTTAAACCCAGTCCTTCTGGCTGGAAGCTGCTGTTTACAGTGAGCCAAGCACAAGTGTCACCTCTGCACGTGTACATACAGGAGGGCCAGCTACAGCCTGCTGTGACTGTCACAACACCAGGACATCACAGGAGACATCACCTCAACACAAGACTTGCTTCTTCAGCCGGCTACGCTGTAAAGTTCTGAAGACCCCAAGGGCTGCCCACAAACAGCACAATACAACCAGAACTGCCCCACTTGACTCCAGCATAGTGGTGGAGCGTGAATCTTCAGCAGGTAGCAGACATACATGGCACCTGCCATCAGGGCTTCAGCTGGTTTGCACGCTGGCTGCTGTTTGAGTGATGCATGTTCCTCTCAAATAAACCCACTGACTGGATACCCGCTGTGTCCTTTTGTTTATGCCGCGCCGCCTGCTCCAGTTATGGCTCCCAGGGTGGGCTTCGTCTGCCATCCACTTCCGTCTCCACGTGGTAGAGTACATCTGCCAGCGTGTGCTCCACAACAGCACCCCAGCCCATGTCGCTCATCTGCAAAGGGAACAAAGACAGTTGGCCCCAGCCAGGAGGTACAGGCTCAGCACAACTGCTGCCTAGCGCTGTTCACAGCAGCATTCCAGGACTGCTTCCCTCCCTAAAACATCAGCAGGAGAAAAATACTTCCAAGTGTTTCCTTAGCTGCTTTTAAGAGGGATGAATTCTTGTTTCTGATAAGCAAACACAGGCAAGAACAGGGACTTCATAATATGTCAAGAGGAACAAGACAGCATCTGCTCTTTAGTTATCTATCCCTAAAGTTATGTGTTAGTTAAATACAAGCCTTTTGGCTACACTGTCCCCATACAAAGCCTGAAGAGGACAGACACGGGCTTAGTATAAGTCAGCTCCCACCATCACAACAGCATCTCAACCACCCTCTGTCTAAACACTGTGAGGCTATCACAAAGCAGGGGGGGTGAAAAGCTTCAGTTACTACTTACCGGACGGTAAGTGATATCTCTAGGTGGATACTTGAAAAATGGCCCAAAGTTTATGGAGACCTGTGGAAGACAAATGTGTCACTAAAAGCAGGCAAACTTCTTTAGTCTTCAGGCCTCATCCCCTCCTATTCTTGAGCCTACTTGCACCCTGTGCAAGACCACATGAACCAGCATCCTTGTCACAAGGACAGTGTTTGTTCAGCAGTTTGCTGAAGTTAATCACACAGGTGAACAGCAGCATTGTTCCAGTTGCTTCACTAAAACAAGTCCCCCTCTTGCCTCTTCACTTGCTTAACACACTCCCAGTACCCACCCCATATGCATTACTAAAACTACAGTGGACCTTGGAATTGTCTCGCAAAGACGTCACTTACCGTGCAGCCTTTGTACAAGGAAATAGCAGGAAAATAAACTCCTTCGAAGATGTCTTTAAAGGCAACTCCTTGGCTGGCACCATTCTTGAAGAATATTATCTGAAAAGGAAATGAAGAGTTTTTTTCCATTGCTGCTGACTTTCGTGAACTACAACGTAATCCTCAAGAGGCGGCTTCACCACACTCCACCTGATGCCAGACAATTTTAAGTGACAGTAAAGGGCACAGACGGTTTGCTGAGTTCACGTTTACTGTGGCTTTTATTAAAGCTTTCTGGTGAAGAACTAGTGATCAGCCTCCCTCGGTGCTCGCTACATGCAAGCAGTTCATACCTACAACAAGCCAGTCGCAGCAGGCGCTCCCCGGGGTTCTGCATCCTCCTCCGACCAACACCTGACTTACCTGGCTGCCGGGTGCTTGCTTCAGGCTCTTCTCCGCTTTGTCCACAAAGTCCTTCTCTTCAAAGTACAAGTAGCTTTTGAATTTGATCAACGCCTGCAATATTAGAAAACACTCACTTAAGGTAACAGTTTTTGTGGATTACATCTGAAGTGACATATTAAGGAATGGTAGAGCCCCAGGAGCGCTGCTCCGGGACAGGCGTGCCTGTCGGTGTCAGAGCACCGGTGAAGAGCGATTCGCACCCCTCTGATATTCCAGAACCGGGAGGGACAGAGGAGATGAAAGGAGATGCTGGCAATCTCCTTCAGCAGTCCATGCAGAGTCCTCCCTTGCAGAATCTCTGGGTATTTTGTTCTGCTGAGATCAACGCTTTGGACATCTCCGCTATGAACCACAGTGGTTACCCCAAGGCAGGACGGAAAGGATGCAAAGGGGATGAAAGTGAGGCTAGAGCAACCCGTTTTCCACTCGTCCACCCAGCCAACACTTACTCCACACCTCACCTTATCTTTGTAAGTGTCAGGCAGTGACTTGGCAGTCTCGGTATCTTCTGGAAGACTGATGTAAAATCCCAGCACATCGCCCTGTCCATAGCCAGACGAATAGTGTTTCCCTATCGACTGGTGAAACTTTGTTCCCTTTTTGCTGCGCCAGGAGTAACTGAACTTGTCGTATCCCAGAGGCGCCTGGAGGTTCCCTGCGGAAACCAGCGTTCCTTCAGGAACACACAGAGCGTAGCAGGAGCACCTCTGCGTGTCCCACTTCAATCTTTGGAGCAGTAATTGCATTCAGTTAACAAATACGACGACCATTAGTACAAAAGCGTTGACTGCAACGTTAAACGAGGCCAAGCATGCAACAGCCTAAAGGATCCACCCGTACTGCAGTGCTGCCCAGATCACCTGCACAAAGAGCTTCCCCTTAAGGAAAGCAGTGAAGAAGCTGGCAAGCTGAAGGTGACTTACCCCCCTTAGGTCTAAACCACTGGGGAAGGAAATACAGGAAGCAGCTGGAATCCACAGCTAAGAAATATTGAGTACAATTATTTACCTAACGGCTGTGACCAGCCTAATCTGGCCGCTGTATCTGGAGGCATCTCATCCATGGATATTTCAAAGTACCACGCTCCTTTCCGCACTCCATGCGAGGCTCGTACCATCGAATAGCCCTTCTCGCCAATGACGGTCAGCCTGTCATCAGAAATCTTCAACTGAGGAGCTGCAGCAGGGAAGAGAAGATGGTACGAGTGGTTTATTTGTGATTTCTAATGTGCGGTGAAGTCAAAAGGCAAGCGACCACACAGGAGAGGATTTAACACTTGCACCTCTTGGGCAATTATGGCTGAAACACCGGTACCTGGTGACATGAACTTACAGAAACGGCCCCTCGTATGCAGAGCTGGCTCTACAACTTGCCTACGATTAGCAAGCTTCGTACCTCGGTCGTGCAGCGCTAGGAGGACTCGTTCATACAGGCAGGCTCTGTAGAGGTCCCCAGGAATAGGCTTTCCTGCCCAACAGTCGAGCTCCAGCTTCTCTGGGTCTGGTGCGTGGGGGTCAGGCTCAGCCAAGATGTAACGATATCCATCTTTATTAAAGGGGTGTTCCAAAGGGTAACCATGGGGCGGCAAGCGCTGAGCAGAAAACAAGGGGTCACTGTGAAACACAGAAACCACAGGTTGGCATCTCACGGTGGCGGTGGCTCAGTCACAGCTCAACCCTGGACAACCTCGCACAGAGCTGCCCCTGCAGCGCTCACGGCCTGCACACCGCTTTGCTTCCACGAGTCTGTGCAAAGCGAGCACGCACTCACCTACAGCATGAGCGTACACTCACCTGCTTCAAATAACTTCTAGCACGTGACCTACCGATAACATCACAGGGCTACGGCACGATTCCCCACAGATCTGCCACGGGCAGGGACGGGCGGACGGCACGGGAAGTAAAGCTGTCCCTCTGAGCAGCGTACAGCACCCTGCTACAGATGCTCTTCGCTGTGCCGCCGCACCATCCCTCCTCTTACCTTCTGGTTTTCTTCGCCGTTCCCGTGGTCCCTCCGTCCTGCTGCTTGCGCTTGGCTCCCCGTCCCTTCCCACTGCCTCCTGCCGCCATTCCCCCTGCGCACAGAAACCACGGCGTGTTAAGAGCAGCCGGTGATCAGAGCGAGCCCGTGAGCACGGAATCTCCACGAACAGCAAGGAGCAGGAGCAGCCCAATTAACATCAGTTCCTGAGCTCAAGAACCTTCTGCCACAATTCCATGTGAAACAGACTTTACTGCAAGTGAGCACAGCAAAATCCAAACTTTTATGTAGCTTCCAGTCAACTTTTACCATGTCTAAATTTAAGAATGGAAGCTAAGTGAGATTTATCAACAAAATGAGCTCAGCTCAAGCTTTTCAGGTGAGAATTAAGAATCTTTTCTGTCACAACAGCACTGGGATCCATTTCAAAAGCATGACTATTTGCTTTCATGGAGATTCCAGTCACAGTTCAAATGCTTTTCTGCAAAAGTAGCAGAAAAGCAACCTACAGCACACACCACCTGAGGTTAAGCAAAGTCACCGTCCCAGTGACACACTACACTGGAGAAACACTCTGATGCCAGTAAGCACTTCATATTAATTTCCATCTATAAGGCAAAATACACCGAAGCTGAGGACAAATGAAAAGCAATAGAGGTGTTTCTCTTCAGTATCAGCAAACCCAGCACTGCGACTGAACAGTCTATCGTTTCCTATTACAGCACCCAATTTTCACTCATCAATAAAACTACAGTGCAGGAAAAGCTACACGTTAAAGGTAATCAAACAAGTATCACAATAACGTTTTAATACACTGAACTGTATGTGCATGTTATCATTACACCATTTTGAAAAAGATCACTGTTGATTTACAAGGAGAACTGTAGAATTTGTGTGTACTGCAGGTAAACACCTTTACAAACCGCACACTGTGTCACAACTGAAAATAGGGTCAGCGTTTAGCTCCTCAGCTTTCCCCTTGCGGCGTGAGGGATTCAAACCGCTGAAGGAATACCATATTCTGCGCAAACATGACATGATCTCAGCTGCCAGTTTCATTGCAGATAAACATTTAGGCTCTCCAGTTTGTCACTGCGTATTTGCCTGAACAATCCCAGTATCATACCAGCTCGCATTAAGATTTACACCTACAACAATATCAGGTCAAATCACATAAGGTAAAAATAAACATACATGAAAACAGAACTTTAAACCAGTCAAGTGGGGCAGAATATGATATTAAAAGCTTCTAACTGCTAAAGATTAAAAAGTGAAATTGTTGTTTTGTATTGAAGTATTACTGCAATCACATCAGGGCACGCTTTTGATTTTAAATTGACTTTAGCTTCTAACATAACGGAGCAAAAAAGCTTTGCAAACAATAATACTTAAGGTTTAGAAGCTGAAAGGTAAATATTCACCTCCCAAAGAGGCTCCACCTGTAAGAACAGAAGTGGCACCACATATCTGTCCATCTTCCAGGAATTAAATAAAAAACAAACAGTGCATGAAATGGAGACAATGCAGCCTGAGGTATCTGTAACCCTGGTTGAAAAAGCCCCCCACACCTCCTGTCAGGTACTATTTGAATATGTTTAACTCAGAATGGCGTAGCCTTGCGCACAAAGAAATCTCACCAGCTGTTAGTATTACTACAGTAAGATTTCTGTACGTCATCTCAGCGAGCAAGGCAAAGTTGATAGCACAGCTGTCATTCTCCAAAAAGGAACAACAGTACAATGCAAGCAGTGACTGTAAAGAGCAATACATACTTTCCCCAACTACTTTCAAATCTCAAGAGTGAGGGCAACAGGAAATCTGCCTAACACAACTATGTAAATTAGAATCACCATGGAAGGAAAGTGACAAGCTCAGCTTTCTTACAAGCACCTTGATTTAGCTGGCGGCCACGAAGAACCAAGCTGAACCTTCACAAGAAGGTAAAATTAATCTACCTCTGTCGACAGGCACGGTTAAGACAGGCTGAACGTGTTTTGAACATAATTAGCACAACCTCCGTTGACTCGACAGGTTTAACTGCAGCATCTCGGCTGACATAACTGCACAGACGCCCAGCTACAGCACTGGGAAAACACAGCGTCGTCCCAGATACTCAGAAACCACCTGATTAAAGAACTTGCCGTTTAAGTTTCCGCTCGTGGATACAGCATTGTTCTGTTTCTGGTTGTCATATGCAGGACCAATATTGGCAAGATCCTGAAAGAGATAAAAAACCTGATGTATGGACTCAGCCAAACCTACCACTCCAAACCCGAGCACGGCACTTCCAGTGCTGGAGCATCCCGACACGTCGCTTGGCACAACACAGGCTCACAGCGCGACTCGGCCGAGGTCTGCTCATCTGACCGAGTGGAAGCCACCAGCAAGAAGAACGCCCACCCCTTCCTCCCAACTCCCCACGGCACTCTCCTCCGTCTCTAACTACCCACTTGGTCCACAAGTCCAAACTTGGGGTAATCTTCTTCTGGGTCTTTACTCCCTGGGTCTGGATGCTCTTTCACCAAGAACACATCTCTTTCTTTACACTACAACAGAGGAGGAGTTTAAGTTAAACAGGGTAAGATCATACCAAATTCATTAACAACTTTTTAAATCATCATATTTACTATTAATACATAGTACATTACCAACTACAAAGGAAGCATTCGATTCTTCCCCATTTAGCTCTAAGTCCAGACCTCAGCAAACACGAATGTCAGAAAACTGTACCATTTGCAAAACCCTCCACGAATTTCACTCCAGAAACTTACCATAGTTTTGACAATATTGTTAGGCCAAGTCATTTTCCCAGGTCTCTGTCGTGTTGTCATGCACTCCCAGTATTTATCAATAAATGGGATAATATCCTGTAAAAAAAAAAAAAAATAAAATTGACTCTAACAGCAGGGGTCTGAAAGTCTTGCTGGCAGTATTTGCTTGAACTTGCTCTTCACTGAAATCATAGCTACATAAATCCACGATGACTTTTGTAGCAGCCATACCTTATCTTTTGAGAACATAGTTTTCGGGTGCTCATCTTGCGTCCTCGACTGCCACGTTAAGTTGGCCAGAGCACTAAGGCACATTTCCTTGAGGTCTCAAAAAGAAGAATACACCAGAGCTAGAATTACACTTCACGGAGAAGACCAAACATGCACCCACGTACACAGCAGTTACTGTCCACGCAGCGCCCATGCCACCCTCGGTAACAGTAAAACCCTCACCGGGTCCGTCCTACCTCAGCAGCCCTCACTAAACAGAGGCTTGCACCATCCCACGTTAGTGACAAAACATTTTCAGAAAAAGCTGCACATGCTTGTTGCTAACATGGGATTTTTTGGTAATTTTTGAAGTTTCAGCAGAACCCTCCCACCAACTTTGGACAAAACGAAGCCTCTAGGATTATCTGGCACAGAATTTCAACAGAAGTGCTTTTACACTTACTGGCTTGTTTTCTTAAGAAATACGTGTTCCCGCTGTGATGGCAAACATTGCAATGGAAACTGTAGTTGGTCATGAAAGGCAGACATGATCTGGAAAAGAGCACACTGATTTGTAAGCTCTGGTGTACACCTTCCTTACTACATCAAGTTAAGAAATCAATTATTCTTTACTACATCAGGTTAAGAAATTAATTACTCCAGGTCAACAAATTAATTATTCTCTCTCTCTCTCCAAAACCAGAAACATCTTACAGGTTCAATGATATTTTCACCAAATTAGGTTTATCATGGTCATCAAGAAAAGCCACAAAGTTCTTGAGGAAAATGTCAGCAAGCCAAGTGTCATCTTCTCGTTTCAGGGAAGTCTTGCAATTCATTCAGCAAAATAAAGGACAACAATCCAGAAGCTCTGGACAAGGAGCTCCACCTGAGTCAATTATAATTGACTGGAAGTCTAGAGTACTTCTTAGGCACTAAATACAACCAAAAAAAGTTAAGTTTTTAATAACTCTAAGGTCAGTCCCACACAGATTCTAGAATGAAAGCTGAATTTACTTCTCACAGGAAGCTTTTGGTTTTGGTTCACACCAACTGAAAATGTCTGTTGAAGCCCCCTCTGCCTTTCAAATAACACTTAGAGGTCTCTGACACACCGAGTCCAAGGGCAGCGCTGACAGCCCCGAGGTCTGGACAAAGATGTTTTACAGACACGCTGGGCTGGGTAAAGCTTCAGCTATTTACATAACAGACTGCATGGACAGGGCCCTCATCCTTGGGACTTTACACTCCAAATCCTTCCACTTCCGCTACCCAAAGTCTCGTGCCCAGCGTTACGCAGCGCTGACGTACGTGGTGTCGATGCCAAACGTGTCTGCTGTGAACCACTTTGTGCAGATTCCACACTGCAGCTCTATCTCTCCAAGCTGCCGTCCGTTCTCTTCATCCACCGAGCCTGCCTGAGCATCCAAGGCTTCAGAGTTGTCCCCTGCAGCTTCCTACAACCAGAGCAGATCAGCAAACTTGCACTGGCTTAAAGACTGACTCAATCAGACAGGAAAGAAGCTTTGTGCAGTAACCTGTCAAGACAGGAGAATTTAGAGGGAATAAATTTTTTTCCCCCTAACATACAGCCATGCTGTGAGTTAACTGGAACTACTCTGTCGATTCGGTTAGTTAGAACTAGTCAGATGGGCGAGGATTTAATTTCCAAAATAATTCTTTAAAGAACTAAAACCAGAGCTACCAGGATGGGAAGTCCTTCTCGTCTGAACCACAGGAATGTGTTCAGATTTTGGTTTCTGAATAACTACCGGCTCCCCTTCTATGTCTGCATCTTACCCCTGACTTAGCAGTCCTGGAAAACTGAGGATGCTTTTTACTCCTAACACATCAGGCACAGCCAGATATCTATTTGTTAAGTAGAAACATTTTATCTTCTGAAAAAAAATTCTACACTTGCTCTTTTCCTCTGCTATGTATGACCTGTGGCTATCTTACGCCTTTGCATCTCCCCTGTCATCTGTGCAAAGACGCTAGATCGCTACCGAGTAAGAATCCTTTGGGAAAACGTGCTGGTGCTGATGGAAATAAAACCCCAAACCCCAACAAAAAACCAAACGGGAGAGGGCTACTGAGCTGGTGAAGGGGTATCCCAGAGACGAGCCTCAACCACAGCCTGCGATGGCCCTCAGGAGGGAAGGATGCTTCGCAAACACAGGATTCCCAGCTCCCGCAGAGCCCACGGTGAGGGCAGCTCTGCTGCAGGGACAGACAGACCCTGGCACCTGGCAGCAAGGCCAGCCGGGCAGCGCCTCACCGAGGGGCTGCATGTTCAGCTTCGGCGCTCCCACGTTCTCCACCTGTCCCAGCACCACAGAGCTGAGCCCCGCAGACTGGGTCTCTCCCAGTCCGTCCTGGCTGCCTGCAGCCACCTACCAGGGGTTCCTTTCCGTTGGTGGACTCTGTCTCCAGAGCTGTGGTGACATCGACCAGGGCAGCATCTCCCCTGCGAGAGCCAAAATGAGATCCTGAGAGACAACCCTCACCTTGGACCTGGTGTAACTGCGGCGTGGCACAGCCTGGCCCTGGGGCCGGGCCTGGACTGGAGCAGCCTGGCTCTGGGGCCGCCTGCTCTGGCTCTTGGGCCACCTGGGCAGAGGCCTAGCCTAGCTCTGGGGCTGCTTAAGCAAAGGCCTGGCCTTGCTCTGGGGTCTGGTTCTGGAGCTGCCTGGGCACAAACTGAAGCAGAGGAAGCTCCAGCTGAACCTGAGGAAGAACTTCTTCCCTCCGACGGTGACGGAGCCCTGGCCCAGGCTGCCCAGGGAGGCTGTGGAGTCTCCTTCTCTGGAGATATTCCAGCCCCGCCTGGCC